CCTTGTTACGTCACAGTAGATTTTGATTTTGCAATTTGCATCAGTGGACCGATGCGAGCACCCGCAATCTGCATGCAATGCATCGCTGAGCGGACAAATCTATTATGACACAGGGCTCTAAAACAATAGATTTGATGATAATAGATTTCACACAGAAAAGGACTCGGGACCGATCCATTCACTGATGCAAAATGGCTGAAAATCGATGCAAACCAAATCTACCGTGACATAGGTGATGCATTGACTTTCTACTGTGACATCAAAGGATGTGGTAAAAAATAAATATTTTGTTGCGAAATTATTGACGCTTGAGTGTCGCAAAATAAAAAGTAAATAACAAAAAATACACATTTGCGATCGCACGTCACATATTGACTTATTTTGACAATTTCAACTGTTATTGAGACTATTTAAATTAGATTTCATCCTAAATAGGGTATTCCTGACATGGAGTCAAGTTTAAGCAAATATTTGCAGTTTGATAGCTGGAGAGATTCTATTGACGACAGCATAATATGTCTATAATTTATTTCAAGCAACATTTCTCAATTTTGACCGATGCTCGCATCGTTGGCATCGGTATGGATCTGCCCCTGCTTTGTACACAAAGCATTTTAAATTTTCTATTGATCAGCTGTTTGTCTCTAGTGAGGCACAGTTGGATGCTAAATGTATATTTAATTCTAAAAAGACAATAATTATATTGATGTCTCACAGCAGGGCAGTATGCATCAATATACTTCAGAGGTCAAATTTGGCAACCTCTAACTATACGGCGTATTTTTAAATCTCCAATGACTTAAACTGCAACTTTAGTTGGAGACAACAGTGCAAGTTGGAGCTATTTTACTGGCTTCAAACCATGGTAAAATTAATAAATTGTTAAACACTGCTGTCAACTTTACAAGAGATGCACGATTTGTTCTAATTAGGTTGTTTATGGCTGTTTTCTTTCAACAGGAAAAGCAATTCCAGACTGTGTGTTGCCTGTTTCAGTTTTTTTATCCACTGCCAATATAGAGCTCACTGATCTTATTCTGGTGGGCACAAACAACAATGGAAGTTGCCACCATCAATGCGAACCCAATTAAAAAGAGAAAGGTATGCTTACCCCATTATTAAACTATATAAAATACATGCATGCATAAACCCCATGCCTTGCTAAACAAACACCTCATTTTTTTGTTGTGGGCTGACACAATCCTTTTTGTTTTTTATACATACATTATTTTTTAACAATGAACTGTAAAAAAATAAATATTATTACTTTTTAATTTAATCACAAAATATTTTAATTTTCAAAATAATTATGGAAGATATGTTAAGTTATTCAGCGTATATAAGGTTTACGTTTATACTTTGTACAATTATAATGTAAAAATCGTATTAACCTAATGGCGGTTTTCTACTAAGGCCTAAGCGAAATTTCTATTGCTCAAATTCAAAAGATTTCTGTTTAGTTCAATTTGAGTGGAAAACCGCCTAAAAGCTATTTGAATCCAAGAAGCCATTGTTTCCTCTTACATAAAAAAGTAATTTTAACCAACAATCACTACTCTATTTAGCCTATATCAACCAAAAAAGCCGACTTAGCAGACAAATAAGCATGGTGACCTACCTTTTTTATTGCAGAAAATACATTGTTATGAAGTTTCGAATTTTTTTTGAAAGTTATTTGAAAATCGCCAGTGTAGTTTTTGAGAAATTGAATTTCAGCCTTTCCAAAGGCTAAAATGCAATTTTAAAGGCTGAAATTCAGTTTCTCGAAAACGACAACTGCAATAATGCCACCGTAACACCTGTATTGTTGAAAAAATATTCCAGACTACTGTACAGAGGAGGTTGGACAGCAGGCCGCAAAGCATCATGGGTATTGAGCGCCTAATTCCGTGTGTGACTTCATTGACTTGTTGACTGTCAAGGAGTGAACATCTCTCTGACTAAACCAATATGGAAGCTTTCGAACGACAAGAGTGTCAGGCTGCGATACTTTGTGAAAAGAAACAGCATGTTATTGCTGTATTGTTGCGATCATCATTATGACTTGTGTTTTACTATAGCAAGTTTGCATGGGACATGTTGTCATTTTAGCTTGATAAATAATGCGTCTGAGCGAAGGAATTGTGTTTATATTCCCAGTAGCGAGGCTCTTCTTTCTATTAAACTTGGATGACGTTAAATCTCCGTGTATCATCAACGTGAAACAAGCGCAATATTTAAGGTTGGTATACTACAATGCATTACAGTTTCCTAGCTTGTTATTTAGTCAAATTATTATCCGCTTTGTTGTTTTTAACCTTGTACTGTAACCCTATTGTGTGTGTCTGTGTACTGTGTCACTGTGATACATATGTACATGCTTTGAGTTAAACAAATTGCATAATAAATTTTTGCTGAAGTATGATACGTGTTTGTATCTAGTTGTGGATAGATTTTTACATATATGTGCATACAATAGTGATATTTTTCAATTTTCATCTGTAAAATATTGCCGTATTTGTGTGTTGTTCTATAAATATTACTGTAAATAGTGACACTTTTACATTAGATTTCTAATTTTAGAGATTACAGCTTATGTACAAAATAATAAAATAAAAATTTTCTTGTTTTGATTTTGTAGAAAGAGATCTACTTGAGTGGTTGTCTGGTCTTGAATCTGGTCAGCATGGATATGGTAATGAAGGTGATAGGGCAGAAATTGGTGACCAGTTAAGTGATGAGGATGAAAGTGACGAGGACAAAATCACCCATGCTGTACCATTCAAGTGCATCGGCGCTGCTCAGTGGCGGAAACTAGGGGGGGGCGAGGGGGGGCGATTGCCCCCCCCAAAATTTTACTAAAATTATATTTTAGCTAGATTTCATAATTCATTTTGAAAAATGAAAGCACAATATAAGGAAACAAAATGGTACGTCTTAATAAAAACAAGCTAAAAACTAGCAAAAGTATTCTACATTTATAATCTCACAAGTCACACAATGAGTGTTATGAATTCTGAAAAAAAGTCAAATTAAATTAGTTTTAAGCGCTAGCTGCGCTACAAGTCTTTACTTAAACTGTACGATTCGGGATTTTTGATTTACCCATCGATCAAGCACTTTGTCCAAGTTTATTCTTTTTAACAGGTCTTTATTCATGGATAGCAACATAAAGTCACTGGCCAACGAACTGTCTAAGCTATTACAAGCCCAGCTCAATATCCGATTCATAGCACTGAAGCTTCTTTCCACGGTTGCAGTACCAACTGGCAAGGTCTTTGATATAGCAATCACCTTGGATAAGTTGGGGTACAGTTCAGGATCGATGTTCTTTCCGGCAGCAATTAGAATCTTCGCCCGTTCGCATTCGGTTTTAAGCAAGGTAGATTCAATATGGAGACCATCTCCAAATTTGGCAACGAGACTGGATAGGGTCGCATAATCTAGGTAGGTCGATTTTGACGCATCTAAAGCCTCCAGAGCAGCCAGTACCTCGGTATTCTCGCCAGAGAAATGTCGTTCCAACTCTTGGAGGAGCATGGGAACAGAAGCTGCCCTGAGACGTTCACAGAACTCGCGAGGGCATGCAGATTCTGTGGAATCTTGTCTGGAAACATACACGGGTTCCTCGTAGTCCAAGGTGATGTTCACAGTTGCACATAGCTGTTTGGCCGTTTCAATGATATCGTTGGTTTCAATCTCAACAAGAAGCTTCTTTACAGCCACCATTTCATTGGCTATGTTTAGCCATTTGACATTGGTCTCTTGCATAGCCTTACTTAATCCATGCATTATTGACAAAAGCTGATGAAGAAAGCATAGGGAAATTACAAATTTTCCCGAGAGAATCTTGTGGTAGAGTCCCGCTGCTGAATCGGCTTGGTTCGAATTTGAAGCGCCGATCTTTTGAAGGCTTACGAGAATAGCTTTAAGTCTTTTAACCATTGTATTAACACCTTCAAACTTACAAGCCCATCGAACTTCTGTAAGGGAGGAAGCCGCCATTATGGGCTGTTTCGGATAAAGCTCCTTTTGAACAGCTTCGAATATTTCTCTGTTGCCAGCGACGTTGAAAATGATGTGCAAAGCCTTGTAGACATTTATTACACTACATGCTTCATTGACTGTACGAAAATAAGCCTCTACAATCAAATTCAGACGGTGTGCAGCACAGTGAACATAAATCAACCAAGGATAATATCTCTTCAGTTTAGCAGCAACGCCTTCGTAACATCCGCGCTCATAACAGATGCGCCATCTGCTCCAAGTGCAAGGAGAGTGGCCGACAAGCTCAGTTTTTTACTTGTTGGCAAAACTCCTTCATTCACAATGGTTTCGGCATCAGTCTCTTTAAGTCTAACAAGATCATAATATCGTTCTTCGACTCGTCCTTTGTCATTTACAAACCTAAAACAAGTCGATAGCTCTTCATGCCCCGCATTATCTTTGCACTCATCGATGAGCATTGAATACATCCCCGTTTTGTCGATCTGTTCCTCGATCAGATGTCGAACCTCAGAAGCCATGGCTCTTATCAACTCGAGCGAAGATCCCTTTGATGTGTAGTCGTATACTTTGTACGTTTGAGTCAACCTACTATGCAGTTGATTGAATGTTGGGTTAGTGCGTAGCATTGCCTTGATAAATTCTTTCCACTTTCCTGCATTGAGCGACTCATCAGTTTCATCATGTCCTCTATACGCCATCTCTTCAGAACAAAAGTACTGATGATATTCCAACAGCGTCTTCATGTATTCTCGATTATTTTCCACTACAGACGGTCTTTCAGGGTCTAACATATTTCTAATACTAGCCCCTGGATTCTTTTTCTGGATGTTGTAACTTTCCCAACGAGCCATGGAAAGGAGGTGATCGGAGCATTTGTCATGTGCTTTAAATCCGCGATTATTTTCCATCGCCTTTGACCACTTAGAAAAACCAACTTCAGTGAATGCTGGGTCGCTCTTGCACGTCGATGTGCTAAAATTCCTGCACGCAAAACAAAATGCTTTGTCTTTTGCAATGCTGTATTCAAGCCACAGGTAGCTTGTATACCAGGCTGCTCGAAAACAACGATTCTTCTGGTTTCTCGGATAGGACCCAAGGTTTGGTTGTGAGGGCCCATCGACCAAAGTTCCAAGATCACTCACTGCGGAGTCTAGATGAGCTGGACAAACTCCCACTTGTGGCGGCTGAACAATACATACTGAAGGAGTCAACAGAGTAACTGCACCAGATGTTGACGGGACTGGACAACTCAACGCTGTATTGTTGTCTCCAGTAGTCCTGACGTGAGCGCCATCTTCTTCGTTTACCGTTGTGGTTGCCACAGCTCCAGTTGTTGATGATGCTGCATCTGATTCGTTGGTTACTTCATGGTTTGCTCTTTTAGCGAAATATGAAGTTATTGTGCGATTTGCAGACCTCTTCATGTTTTTGAAGAGCGCCTCTTATCACTGTTTTACCCGTCTCAACAATACACTTTTCACAATAAAAATTTGACTTACGATATTCGATAAGTTTAAAAAATATATTGGAAAATTGATTTCTTATTTTATTCTTCAAAAGATTCACAATTATACAATTTACGGTCTGTAGACTTTAGTCTTATGAATAATGCATGCTTGCGGTTAGCTTTTTATACTAACAGGTACTGTAGGCGTGACTGAATTATGACCTAATTTCGAAAAATAGAACTATGACTGCATGACATTTCTGAAGCAATACGCTAATACAATATGACTAAGCAAATTAATT